AAGTTCCTATGAACTATTGCCAGAAATTGAATCATGAGACAGATCATCATACCCAACAGCACTTTAAAGCTTGCAAAATACTTTACATACAACATCTTATCAAAGCCTTATGAGAACTTTATGACATACTACCGATTTTTATTGAGTGGGAGATGTAAAAATGAGATAGTATACATGAAAGAATTATTAGCCATTATTATTAGTATTAGTTTTCCATTTTACTACAGAAGAAACAGACTGAGTATTTAAGTGACTTAACCAATGTCACACAACTAGGGCCAAAGATGGGATTTGGACTCAGTTTTCTCCCGAATCCTATCCCAGAAATTTATCTTCTATATCATAGAGTCTTTCTGGATTATGAAGCATATTTTAATGTATCTTCTATCATTTATAAGAATAATCTGATCAAATATTTATGATGCTAAGCCAGTTTTCCCTTTCTAGAGATGTTTAATATCTTTAGACTAATTTTCTATGTAAACATCTCTAGCCAAAGTTAAAAAAAACATTTTAAAGAACAATTTACTCCACTATTTTCATTCTACCAATAAATCAATACAAATATGTGATTATAAGAGCATTGTGGGTATTTTTCTCCATATATGCAATAGCTATGTCTACATCTATGTATGTCTGTCCATGTGTATTTACACACTTTTGCTTTGTGAATGAATAAATGAAAACAATTTATACAGTACTAAGTACTGAAGGTAAAGATACTAGCAAAGATAGTCCTTGCCCTCGAGAAGTTTGCTTTCTAATTGGGGAAACAACACCCCCATCCCAGCGTTGGCCAGAGAGGGTCATTTTAGTCTGGAGAGTTACAGCTGGAGAATGTGCTCTGACACCATTCTTTCAGGACCAGGCTGCTACGTCTCCCCCTTAGGGTTCTGCAGTATCCTAAGGAATTGTTTCTCTTCTCTACTACTATCAGCTTAAGACCCCACCATGGTTAAGTTCCCCCCATAGTTAAGTATTAGTGACCAGCACCTCAGTTTGATTTAAAGTTAACTTCAACTAGATTTTACAACTGAATATTTATTTTAAAGTTATAGCAAGGGAAAAAATGTATAAATATTTCCCTCAATACCTTGGAGGCATATTCTCTCCTGTATCATCTTGGTCTATGAGGAGGGAAGACTCACCTTATCTCAATTTACACATAGCATCCATTCCACCAAGCTCCCATTCAAAGGTGGCATCATTGCCAATGAGGTCCTTCTCTCAGCTATCATTAGGTTGGAGTCCTACAGGTATTTCTCAGAGATAATTCTTTGATGTTCAGGGCACTGAAGCTACTGAGTGGAGCTTTCAAAATGCCTAAGGGCTTCCTGAACCTTTTTGACTCATCAGTCGAAGGTTGTAATCCTTCCACTCATCCTTAATAGTGAAGTACCCCTAAGATTGCTGAGGCAAAAAGTAAGGGGCTTAAATTGACAAGCACTTCTCAGTGCCTCTGAAGCCAACCAAAGTGCCTCTTTACCACAATGGTTAGCTGACCAGAACAAGTTATAGAATGCTCTGTAGTCTCTCACAGGCACTTGTACTCCTTGTCATCACAAATATTGAAGAAGAACACAATAAGCTTGCCAACATCTCCACAAGGGAACCTTCCATTAGAAGTACTCTGCACATGCACAGACCCCATTATATAGCAATGAGAAGTGGTTTCAAAAGGGTTGTTTTAACATTCCTTATCAAAAAGGAATGGTGGAGTTAATTTGATCATGGTTGATATTTCCAGAACTGAGACTGGGGAGGTATCTGGCCCTGTGGTAAAGAGGCTTTGGAAGATATAGTCAGAGTGGAGGGAACAAAGTCAGGCATGGCTGGAGCTTTTCTGAAAGTGTTCCATAAGGGGCAGTAACTAATCAGGAAAGTGACCACCGAGGTAAGTAGATCTCCCAGGACATGGTCTCTGCTATGGGCAATGAGGTTCTTGGTGAGAAGGCTATAGGGGATATGGCCAAGGAGAAAGGAACATCTCCCCAACTTAGTTACAAGATGTTTAAGGATAAGAACTGGAATCCAGAATCATAGGATTTAGAAGTCGAAGGTACCTTAGAGAGTCATCTTTTACAACTCCTTCTTTGAAAACCAAAAAGAATGACACAGACATAAGACACAATTAGGACCATTATACATATTTTTAACATTTGTTGAGCTATTAAGAAGCTGGATCAATAAATGCTTGTCAAGTGGAAGTGAATAAAAACATACTAGGTTTCCTATAATATGTTGGGATCCAATCCAGCAGACTCATAACCATAAGTATAAGTTGGGTGTTAAAGGAGGCTAATTAATTTTCATGTCACTCAGGTACTTGATAAACAAAGCCCATGACATCACCTTATAGCCTGAAACCAGGTTAGCTACGAATTATAGAAAGGAACTAATAGGAAGATGTGAAGGAATGGAAGGAAAGGGAATAAGCATTTATATAATGTCTACTATGTGTAAGGTTTAGGCACTTTTTACAATTTTTTTTTTCATTTCACCTTATGTGAGGCATGTGCTGTGATCATCATTTTATAGTTGAGTAAACTGAGGTGTGGTTGCCCAAGGTCACATAGGGAATAAGTGTTTGAGGTAAGATTTAAACTCAAGTCTTCCTGAATCCAGGCATGGTGCTCAATACGTAGTGTCACCTGCTGTCTGAAGAGAGGCCTCTACAGAGTTGCATGGTTGCTTCAGACAAATATTTTGCTGAAGAGAAGATTGTTTTCAAACAGACTCCCTTCGATCCATGAAATTATCTAACCTAGTCCTCAGATGAAAGTCATGCAGATCATCACTTCATCAATTCTTGAAGCCATTCTGTCTTGGTTGGATCTGTCCATAACTTGCACTGTGCTAGTCTGGCCTTCAAAAACCCAAAGTCTCCTTTAGCCCACAATGACAAATCAGGAAAGGTCTTCAGTGGAGAAAAGGAATCACAGCTTACATTTACATTTATACCTATAAAGGAGCAGATCAAAAGAGTTCTCCAATTTGATGAGTATATCTTTCCTACTGTATAATATGAATATTCTGATCAAAACCCCGTTAAGAGAACAAAGACACGTCCTGATTGGTTTTCAGTGATCGCTCACAAGATGATGATATTGAATAGCTCTTTTGGGATATGAACTTTTTGGTAAGAAATCAACCTTATGTAGAATCCTATAAAGATAAATTGAAAGACCTACTCCCAAAAAGGGGCATGTGTTTGCCCACATAGAATCATGTGGGCAAAAAAATTCCCAATGTCCAACATAACATGTAGAGGATAGATTTAGATTTATTTGTCATTCTAGAAACTTTCTTTTATCCATAAAAAGTCACTTTACTGAATAGCAATTAATAGCCTTAGACCTTGTCTCATGGGTTACTACAAATTCCAGTTCATAGGGGCCCCACCTTCTAGAGAAGAGGGTAGTGTCTGAGTAGCATATCTCTTATCAATGAATGTAAGAGAGGTAAAGAATAAAGGCACCAGATGAAGGATAACTGTTTCTAAACCTTATAAAAACTTGCTACTACAGTAAATTACTTCAACAATTTTGCTCCAGTAGGAATTTGCAAATCCAGCAGTCCCAAAGAGTTTGCCTCCTGGGGCAAGGTGTGTGTGTAGTTGGGTTGGGGGGAATGGTGGTGTGTATGTGTTTATGTGTGGCCAGAGGGAAACAAGCAGGTTTCATCCACAAAAACTATGAAATTGGGAGTGATTATCAGAAATTTAGGGATTCACCAGACTGCCAGTATTTCCCTGTGACAATCCCAAATTCAGGCCCATCTAAGGGTAAGTAATTTGAATGTTTTGTGCATTTTTATTATGTGTTGATGAACTCCTATGTGTTCTTTCCAAGTGTTTTCATATTCTTTGGTGTAAAATAAGGGCTGTCTTTTACCAAATCTATTGCATTGTTTGCTTTTTTTTTTAATATTCTGGGGACCATTTTATCTGCATCAGTGGAAAGCTCTATTTTCCAAGATAAAAGTCTGGATTGGGGGTATGATGAGCCAAACATATAGTAGATTTTTAGCCAATTCCCAATATTGTATTTGATCTATTTCTGCTGAGAACCTAGGGGATCCTAGACCATGGGATAGATATCCAATTCATAATCCAAACCAATAAACATTTATTAAGCACCTACAATGTGCCAGGCACTGCACTGAGTGCTGGAAATACAATTAACAAGACGGGAAAAAAAAAAACAGTCCCTGCCCTCAGCAAGGGAGAGACAATACATAAAAACACAGGAAAATAGGGAGGGAAGAGGGATGGGACATCATGGGGTACCCATTACAGAGGTATCTTGTTCTGTGATATTGAAACCAGGAAGGCTGGCAGATATAAAGTGAAGTGATCTGAGGGTCTAGTTTCTGCCCTCTATAAACAAAAGTACTGGAAAGAGTTTGATAGCACACCCTCTAGCCCTCTAAACAGAGGGTGAGGAGACTGTGGAAAGTGGAATCAATCAAGGCAGCATGGTGATCAGTTTAGAAGTGATGAGCTTATCTTGGGAGGTACATTATGATCCACAGAGTTGAAACCAGGTAGGACAGTAGATATGAAGTGGAGTGCATTTAGAACTTATAATATATATGGAAGAAGCTCATGACCTAAATAGTGTTTTGTTGTTTTTTTTTTTCAAAACAACCCAGAGAATATGATTATACAATGATTATTGTCCCTATTTAACAGTTGGGGACACCGAGGCTCACAGAAGTTAAACTATTTCCAACTGGGTATCCCAGAGATATCTCAAACAAAATGTTTCTAAAACTGAACTTGGTATCTTTCTCCAAAAACCCTCCCCTCTTCTAAAGTGTCCAATTTCTGATGAAGGCACCACCATCTTTCTACTATTCTAAGTTTATATTCTTGGCATTATACTAGACTCCTCACAATCCCTTACCCCAACATATCTAATCAGTGGCCAGATCTTTCTGTTTCTGCCTTCACAATATCTTTCCCCTAAATCCTTCTCTTCATTTAAAATTTAAATATAACACTCATTTTAGTAGCACATATACTACACTTGGTATGATACAGAGAAGATTAGCATGGTCCCTGTGAAAGAATGACATGCAAAATCATAAAGCACTCCATAATTGTAAAGAAAAAAAGTTTACATAGATATGTATATTCAACTGTTAATTTTTATATCTTAAGAATAATTGCCGGGGCAGCTAGGTGGCACAGTGGATAGAGCACTGGCCCTGGATTCAGGAGGACCTGAGTTCAAATCTGGCCTCAGGCACATAACACTTACTAGCTGTGTGATTCTGGGCAAGTCACTTAACCCCACTGATTCTGGGCAAGTCATTTAACCCCACTGCCTAGCCCCCCCCCCAAAAAAAAAGAATAATTTCCTTCTTATCCTATTCCATGATTCGTTTGCACTAAAGAACTTAAAAAAAATCAGTACAAATACAATGTAAAGATTTTTACCTGACCATCAGCAGTCTTCTTCCCTCATTTTTAGGGTTTCTTATGCCAATAGAATTAAATCTGGCTATCAGCTGCTTGGAATATGTAGTGACCTGCCTCTGACACATATGATGGGATAATGGGCAAGTCACTTAACCTCTCAGTATTTCCAGGAAATTCTAAATTTGTGAATTAAAGGCAATTTGGCTGATCTGCATTAATGGGAGGATTTCCACAGTGAGAGTTCTCTAAATCAGGGCAATCACGAATATGAATCACTCATGTCACTCCCCATAAGACATCTTATTGGAAACATTTATCACCTATAACTTGATTAAATGAACTCTTTTGTTCATCTTTTCATTCTAAAATTAAATGGCATGATTTATTTTTAAAGTGGTGTAATTAATATAAATTTGTGAATGAGAAGGGAACTCAGTGATGGGGATTGCTGAAGGAATTGACCATTGTTTTCTACACATATATGGCATTTTACAATAAAGAATTTTCCTAAGACTTAGCATATAAATTCATTTGTTGTAAACTTGATTATGTCTCTTTTTTGAATTTCATCTTAAATTCTGACTCATAATTTTCATTCCTGATTATTCTTCCATTGGCTATGAGTCGCTAAAATTTACTTGTAAATTTTCTACTGATATTCTATGAAGTAGTTTGGCTGATTGTTAATGCAATCTTATGAAGCCATTTTCTGTTTAAAAGGCTTTTTTGTTAAAAATAAAAAGGAAGCATCTATAATGGGAATAACTAGAGTCTTGCAATTTTTTAAAAATTTTTACATCTCAAGTTTTCTTGCAATTGAATGCTTACATTTAAGGAATCATAAAATTCTGTATGCTTAGTACGGTAATTATGTTACCAAATGAGCTATAATGACATATTCCAATTCCTTCTGTTTCTCAGGGCTCATATTTATTATAGACTGTTGAGCTCAAGGTTTCAGTCAACAGAAATTCATGACAACATCAAGCAAATGAAAGTCAGTTTTGTTACAACTGTTTGAAAACTCACCAATCTTTCTACTATTATATATAATTAGGAAACTAGTTTAAGTCTCATCATTTGGATGTGTTTTCTGAAAATGTGGATAGAATTCATGTGAATTTTAATGGACTTTTTTTTTATCTCAATGATGAAATCAAGCCACCATCCTTATCTGAAAAAAGGCAGTGGAGGAGAAGCTAAATCAGCTTTGGTTAGCGTGTTCTATCCTTAAGACCTTTTTTTATCCCCTGATCCTTTGGGAAATATGTTGAAATAGGAAAAAAAATACAAAACTTAGGAACATCTAACATTGGATAAAGTAATCACTTTTCATAGCATATGTCACCTGAAATTTAAAGCTGTTAAGAAAAAAAGAATATCCTTTCTTAAAAAGACAAGTGAACGTATTTTATCCTTACTGTTCCAGGAACAGATGCAAAATCTGTAATAGTTCACTGTAAATTTGACCCATGTTTAATACCATGTTACTTTAAATAATGCTATCTTTAAATTAGTCTTCATAGAATACAAAACACTGGATAGGTTGGGTTGTACAGCTTTACCAGTTTGGTTCTGTGCAATCCTTAAAAGGTGAATTTGATTGATTAAAGAGTAATACATTCATGTTGTTGTAATAACTTCTCAATATAAACAGCAAATCCCAGGTACTATGTAAAATAGCTGATCAGAAGAAAGTGAATGCATGAATCTTGTTTTAACTTAGTGTTAAAATATGAAATATACTATACCTGAATTTAATCTAATAGATATTTATTGCTATTTAGTAGCATTGCTAATACTCTGCTTTTAATCAGTCTGTAAGGAAAGCATCATTTCTTCAGAATTACATCTCTGGTGCCATAGGAAATTGTGGTTTTCTTCATGCCCCCTCGCTACCACCATTATTTGGCTTTGAAACCAAAGGGAAGGATTCAAAGGAAAAGTTTTAATTCTTTTCAAAGCAGTTAAAATTCTGCCCAATAAGAGAGTACTTTAGTAAACCACATGAAGAAACTAAGCAGTTTTAATGACCAAACTAGATTTAATGACCAAAAAACTTGTGTTGTTCCCTGAATTTTAAGACTAAAGGGAGATGTCTTCAACTTGCATCTGGGAGGTTATAGATTCTTTATGATGAAGAGGATTAGTTTGTCATTTATGGACAATGGATCATTAAACTAAATAAACCTTCCCTTTGCTGATTACAGCTTTGTTCATGGTTGTCTCAAATTTTAAGATCATAGAATGAAGGGACATAAATGTACTCTACTCCAAAAATTTCATCTTTAGGCCAAGATAGAAAGTGACTTTTTCAAAGGTACACAGGTAGTAAGTTACAGAGTTGAGACTCAGAGCCAGGTGTTCTGATTAAAAATCTAGTGTTCTGTTCACTATACTATCCTTTTTCTCTATAATAACTTTGAGAAGTTATCAAAAATATTGACAATTAGATATCTATGATACTATTGATACTATGATACTATGAATCTATGATACTATTGGTCTGTGAACAGAATACTCCTTAGTGATGTTTGTTAACCCCCTTTAAGTTAGAATGGAGAAAAAGTCTCAACTCACCAGCAAGTATTGACATTATTGATCATGGAGTGGTGTTAGCCATCTATGGATAGGTCTTTGGAGAAGCAAACATGCACATGCAAAGTAGGAAGAAAATATTTATTTTCCATGAGCATTAAGTTGTTTTTTGATCAAATAAAACTGGTCTCATTAGACTCACTCTCACTAGATTCAGTAAATCTTTAGCTTCTTTAGACTTTAAGTTTCTTTATGACCTCAATGGCAGGGCCTACACTTTACCCATCTTTGAATCTTAATGCTTAATACAGTGCCATTCATATAATACTTGCCTAACAAATGTTTATTGAATGAGTGGGTGGCTAGCTGATGGATAAACTGATGGATAATTGCTTAGCTGTTAAGATATCTGAACTGATTAGACCATGTTTTCTCTTATGTAGACTTCTTAAGCATTTTATTTTAGCATACACTATACCTAAAAAAATTGATTGACAATTCTTCTATTCATTTCAAATGGGGGAGCAGCCAGAGACTTTTCTTTCTGGAAGACCTGGGTTCAAATCCTATCACTCTCTCCTACCACTGCAGGTGGGTCCTGCTTCATGCTGCTGAGTAGGCATTTGTGAGCCTCTAGTGTTATAAACACAAACACTATGAAAACCTGCAATGACAGTGTACACTTTATCAACACAGGAAGACAATGCATATATGTTCACTAAGGTGGTTTCTGGTTGTAAAAATCTGCAAGTGTTAAAAAGGTGAAAAGAATCCATGTTGGTATTTTCCCCCATTTTTCCATCTGTGGCCTTACTTTGATCCTGCTTAAAGAGTTGGGGGTCCTTTGACAGAAATGCCAAGGGAGTTGTGTGTATCTATGGATGTACATATGTGAATCTGATGCACTGGTTGTATTGAAAATTATTTTGGAACGTGGGGAAAAATCAAATCTTATCTCTCCTACTAGCTGTGTGACCATAGAAAAATCATTTAACTTCACTGAACCTCAGTTTCTAGAGGGTATGAGTACATTTGTAATATCAATCTCATTGAGTTATTGTAAAGGGGAAACATTAATCTACATAATGCATTTTGCAAAATTAAAAAAAATAAAAGGAACATATAAAAGGAACAGCATAGCAATAATAAAACCAATAATAATGATAATTATAATAACCAAACCTACTATTCCTCTATCCTTCTGACTCACTCTTTCCAATTAGGCCTGACTTGGTATTTTCAAGAGTTTCATTCACTATGTGACTAGATATTACTCAGCTAGGGAAGGGCTAAATCTTGTTATGGCCTTTATCCAAATTCAGTTCAATTAGGGATGAGCCAGGAGCTTCAATATAGATTTGGAAAATTATTAAAGAGAAGAGCTACTGTGTTCAAGGTGAGTGATCCCCATAGTTGACAAAGTTAAGTCACTCTCTGAGATGCAAACTTTCATATGTGTGTGTACATTCACACACACACACACACATACACACACACACACTCACATGCCTCTAAAGAAATAAAAGTACTTTGGAGTGGGGGCAGCTAGGTGGTGCAGTGGATAGAGCACCAGCTCTGAAGTCAGGAGGACCTGAGTTCAAATCCAGCCTCAGACCAAACACTTGACACTTACTAGCTGTGTGACCCTGGGCAAGTCACTTAACCCCAATTGCCTAAAAACAAGCAAAAAAAACCTACTTCAGAGTGAATGCTTTCATAACAGCTAGTTGGTACAGTGGATGGAGTGCTATACCTAGAGCCAAAAAGAACTGAGCCCCAAATCAGCCTCAGACATGAGTCACTTAACTTGATTCTGTTTCAGTTTCCTCATGTGTAAAATGGGGATGATAATAATTGCACCTACCTCGTTGTTGTGAGGATCAAATCAAATAATATTTGTAAACTGCTTTGCAAATTTTAAAGTGCTATGTAAATAATAGTTATCATTCTCATCATCCTGATTCTGCCCCTCTGAATATAGTGTTTTTTTAAATAAAACCTCAAAGGATGTATGAAATCTCTAGATTATTTTCATAATCATTCAATCTACCAAACAATAGGCATATTTAAAAATACAGCTCCGTACAGTTTTGTTTCTAAAGACATAGTTGTAAATCTTTTCCATCAGTTCATGTAAGGAAAGG